TAAGGAGAATAGCAACTTTTTTTATGGCCCGTAAAGTAAACTCACTGTTGGCAGGTTTACGTAGCTTAACGTGCTTGTTGTTTGTTGAGGCTTGGTAGGTTAGGGTTATATAGGTTTATGATCAGTAGGTTAGCCCAATTTTGATGTATGATTTTATTCCAAGAAAAATAAGATTTAATTCAACAGAAATAAACGACTGAAATCGATGTTCCTAGAATTAAGTGAACATACCAATATAAATTGAAAGTGCTCAGTTATCCGTTGGGGGCAAGGTATAAGAAGTAAATAAATACACGGCGTATTTATATTTTTTCTTATATTGGCTTACTGTTGCAACGTTTCGCTGACCATTTGTGTCAGCTTCATCAGCCTACACATTTGAAACACAATAAGAGATTTAATGAAACACATGCACACAACGATAAATTTTATGAGATACAAATTATTATCACAGGTACTAGAAAATTTGTAGGTAATTTGATTCACTCACTGATAATAACCTAGTAATATGACAGCGCTTAAATAGGCCAGCAAAAAACGTTTATGGTCTAGAGCGTTGAACTCGATCGGAACATTTAATTTTTCGTAGTAAAGGAAGATACGCTCGATGAAAGAAAAGTAGATTTTTCTCCTTATAAATGTTGTTCTTGTCCAGTTTTATGTAAATCATTTCAGAAATAATTATTTTTTGATAATTAGGTTATTTGTCAAGGATTTAGATGTTTTCCCAGTCGAATTCATGGTTGAAAGTATTTTTATGTGTGCTAACAACCGAATCAGAATTTTTGTTCTTTATGTCTTCGTTAATGCGGACCTCTGCCGCTCGAGTTGTCTCACCTACATATGAGGCCAGACAGTTTTTACAATAAAATTTGTATACAACATCTGTCTCTTTGAGTTTATCCGCTTTATCTTTTCCTAAATGGACAACATCCTTTAGTTTGTTGTTGGTAAGAGGGTACGTGTAAATGTTGTAAGGTTTTAACGTGGTTGATATTTTTTCAAAATTATTATCTTTATATGGTATACTAATCTTGCAAAAGGGATGATTATTTATAGTAGTTTTATTGTGATTAAAATGTTCATGTCTTTTCAATCTTACTTTTACAGTTTTCTTAATAAAGCTCGAAGGGTAGTTACTATTTATCAAAAAATTTTTTACTCTAGCAACACTCACGCTGTGATTACGTGTACTAGAAAGTTAGATCGCTCTTTCAACTAAATTAAAAGCAAAGTTTCTTTTTTAACTAACTGGATGACCAGAGAAATAATTTAACATACGCCCAGAAGGAGTAGATTTTTCAAACCAGTCGAAAATAAAATGATCAATTTTATGATTATGGTCGAATCTGAGAAGTTAAGTTTAGTGTCAATCTTCATTTCATGTGTAAACTGTAGATAAGAATAATATAAATTAATTTTTCTGGTTTGGGGTAGGATTCTAAACGAAATCATTCATAACTCCTAAATGAAACGGTCAATCCTTTTGAAAAGAAGATATGTTATAACTGATATTATAAATAAACTAAATACCAAGTCTCAAAAAGCCTAGCCGTACCGTTTTTGTATTTTAGCTTTACAAAGTTGAAAACTATCTTTTAGTTGCGTGAAAGGGACAATGACAGCTGTACAGTAAAGACTGCATAACCTACACATATTCTATAGTGCAGTATGCCACACGATATACCTAACTGAACCACTACCTTAATATTTGTTCAATGTGGTCTTTGTCAATAAAAAGTAACATACGCACATACAAATACTTTCAACCGTAATTCGATTGAGACAACATCAGAATTCATGGCAAAGAATCTAATTACAAAAAAATCAGCGTGTGGGACTCATAGTCCCTGGGTAAGAAAGAAGTTCTCAAGAAAAAGAAATTAAATAAAATACTTCTCAACGCATAAAATAATAAAATAACTTTAAAAAACTAACAGATGCAAAAGGTTAGCTAGGAACAGTTGCGCCGCTAGATAAGAACTAAGACAAGTAGACTAAGATAGAGTTAATGTATAGTTGATAAACAATCATAATATGAGTAATAACGTTAACTACCGTAAACCTAATAAAGCGACATTATTAGTTTTTCGCTTGTTTTTGATACATGAGTTGCCAAGCTACCCTCTTACACCATAGAATTTATATAGCATTCGCAAAAACCTAATTTTTGTAATCTAGACAAATGTTGCTACTTTTCAATATGTAAAGGAAAGCAGAAAAGTTGAGCCAACAGTCAATAATAGCTCCTTCCCCTTTTCCTAACTCAGATATGTCGTAAGAGAGTTTGTACGACCGAGCAAATATAAGTAACGGAATTTTCAAATCTTCAGGGCACCACGAGTTGATATCCTCCCCGACGAGTAAGCAAAAGAAAAAATGAGAATTGATCATGCTACTAACATTTTGAAATACATTCATAGCTAACAATAACTGACAAGCTTAGTACAGTTAACAATCAATGGATCGCGACAAACACCCGATAAGTGTTTGGATCACAACTACAGCTGCTTCACAGATAAATGGTTGGACCGCTGTTAACAATTACTCTTTCCGACTATCAACTGGTTCGATTAATGCATCTGGCAACTCTAGCAACTATTATAGTTATTAATGTGTAAAAATTACTATTACTAACCCTATTATTAACATATCAACGCAGTGAACGATTATTCAGTCAACACCTACATGAAATATTGGGTGATTTTTACCGCTCTTGTTGCAATTAATTTGATTGAATAAACAAACAATACTTAGTCTAAGTAAATATTAGCAATATGCTATCCTAATGTCAATACTAAATAACATGGAAAATCTGTAAAATCTTGCCAATTTTGAGTGGCTAAACTAGAGCAACTTCAGCCAATTAGATCTTCGGCTATTGTCTTTTCCCCCAAAATTTTCGGTGACAAGCTTTCCTGCGTCGTTTTCCAGCCAGCGCGTGGTCAAGGTCCGCTACTCCTTATAAAAAGAGCCTGGAGGCACAGTGAGGACAGTTACAGTTAAATTTCACCCTCGAACGGTTGACTAGATAGTTAGAGTCTGCTCTGCTATCTCACGGTCCTCTACGAATGCAGTTTCAAATCTTCGATCTTGGACATTTCGCACTGGTTTGGCACGTGTACGTTTGATACCAAAAATGAAAGTAAGTCAAGTTTAAATACTAAAGTGACAAGTCTTTTTTTTCCTCTCAGTTTCAACACGAACGTGTTTTTTTTTTAGAGTTCGAAAGTCGGTATCGGTAAAATACCATGCTACGATATTAAATAAAGGAATAAGTCCCCATGTAAAGTCTAAGGCAATCACATTTACTCCGGATGGTACTGGTGGATCCTAGACCGGTCGCGAACTTAAACCATTTCACCCCCTTGCGTAACCTCTTGAGTGTAACTACCTTTGCTCGTTACGGTACTGGTAACCTCTAGATCGCGAACGGGATACTATTCGACGCATTGCACCAGGTATCCTCGATAGATCCGAGGCGCGCCGCGAACGAGTGCATCACACTATTGCTCGACAACCGCGTCAATTTAATTAAAACGGCTGTCCTCGCCCCCTTTCGAATACTCAAACAAGAAATATAACTACCTTTTTGCCCCGCGTCCCACCTACGTGGGTAGTGCAAGTTCCGAGTTATTAAGCGAAAGCTTAGACTCGAGTAATACGTTGCATCAACGTAAAAATTATGTAATAAAAAATGGGTGCCAACACACATATACACATTAAGTGCCCTTAAACACCTTTTTGGGAGTCGCTTGGTATGTTCGTACACGCGTATTCAATGCTTGCTTTCTCTATTGATTTTTTCAATTCAATATTCAAATTCGCCACCAGTTTTCTACTAGTAATGTGAAAGTTCTGTGTATACATGTCGACTAAAAAAGTGGTCACATTTATTTATTTATTTAATTAACATCGGTTTGCAAAAATTATTTTTGCATTTCATTTGTAATCAAAGTCTCTTCAATTTGCTTTTTTTTAAATTAAATTTAATTTTTTTTTCTTTTAGCCAGCGAAAATGAGACTGCACGCTTTTTTTCTTACACTTTCTGGCTGATGGGTTCCTGTTCCCAACGCTCCTTATACACAAAGAATACATGGGAAGTATATATTCTATCGTGATAGGGGAATCGGGAATAAAGAACTTCGTTCCAAAAAGAATTATTTCTGAAATGTTTGATTTACCACTGGACAAGAATAACATCAAGAAGAAGGAAAATGTACTTTTTGTTAATCGAGCGTATCTTCCTTTACTACTAAAGTTGAAATGCCCCAATGAAGTTCAAATTCTTCGACCATCTACCTTTGTTGCTTCTTCTATATAAGTGCTATCGTTATATGTAGTTCGTTATCAGTCTATCGTTCGACCTGTGATGAGTAAGCCAGATTACCTACGAATTCTCGCGTACCTCTAGTAATAATTTGTATCTCATAAAATTGATCGTTGGGTGTATGTGTATCATCAAATCTCTTATTGTGTTTAAAATTTGTAGTCGATAAGGCTGACACAAATGGTCAGTGAAACGTTGCAACAATAAACCAACACAAAAAAAATATTAACATGCCTTTTACTTATTTATTTCCTACACCTCACTCCCAAAGGATCTTTAAGCATTTTTAGTTTATAAATTCATCGGAGGGTGATAATAAAATTAAAATCAGTCAGTACACCATTATATTATTTATGAAAAGTAAATAGGCTTCTGTTTGTGTGGAGTTGCACTTAGGTTGCAGAAGTGATGTAACAATAAATAATCTAATTACAGATCAACTATGTTGCAAGATCAACTTCGTACCAACATGTTTTATTAAACTGAACACATATACATTGTTACCTCATGTTAGTAAAGTCTTAATATATTAAAATAAATTTAAAAAAATAAACTTCGATGTTGCAACTATGCTATCATTAATATTTATGAGAAGAAATACTAATAGTAAAAATAAACAATGTATGGCAGTAGCTATATCATTAATGTTAAAGTCTATTAAAGTTACAGATATTCTTTGGTTTTTTCTGAAAACTTGACACAATGTGCAGTTGCACCACCTCCAGGAAGTCGACCGTATAATGTACCTGCAACTCCTGGAATTCTGCAGTGTATAAGGCAAATTGTGGAGAATGAAGGACCAAAAGCTTTATTCAAGGGCCTAGTACCTAATATTATCGGTGTAGCTCCATCAAGGGCCATATATTTTTGCACTTACTCACAGTCTAAACATTTTTTCAACACATGCTTACCTCCAGACAGTCCTGTTGTACATATGTGCTCTGCATCTTGTGCAGGTAAGTTGTATCTATGCTACATATACACATTAATTTAATTTTTCTTCTCAATGAATATTTTTTGTCTTAATTCGTCTTGAATAAAATAATCGTGAATTAGGATAGGAAATACACAGACTAAAAAAATTTCTTCAAAATTACTGTTCTAGAAAAATGAAGGAGCTTACAACACAAACTTTTAAAAAACATTACTATGTAACAATGTCGTCAAAAATTGCATAAAGTTCCAAAATTAAAATTTTTCGTCAGATAAGTGGCGTCGTCTCTGGGCCTATTTTGCGGCCCGAGGGACCTGCGAAGAAGGATCCCAGGGACGTTAGGTAGCCGCGGAGCGATGGCACTTCAGTAGCGAATCCTATTTTTCCTACCGAGGGCACACCTGACCCTCAAAAACGCCTGAAGTCGGAAATGTGTCTTTTGTTTGTAGTTGTATAAAATTCTTATTTGAAAAAATTACGTTGTAAGACTGAAATTAACAATATTTAATCTCAAACAGTTTAGTTAACTCGGAACTTAGATACAGCATTAGAAAACTTAAGAAATGGTACGTTACGTCTCTAGGGCACAAAGTACAAACATCAGCACTCGAAGGGCGCGTTTGTTGTAGATTAGAGCCTGAGTTGCGTATACTTTTTTTCTTACTGAGGGCGTAAAGTTTAGTTTTCCACCAGTGGGCACATTTTGTGCCCAGTAAATCCCTTTAAGCCCTAGGGCAGAACATTTCTGAGGGCCTGGAGGGCCTATTATCACTTTTCTGCCCATGGGCCCAAAGTGATAATAAGGGCTCAATGTGTGACCCAAGGGCGCAAAGCGGCAGTTGCATTTTGTGCCCATGGTAATAAAATTTTTACTACTTGTACACTTGCCTCGTAGAGATAACAATATTAAAATTTTTGAACCCAATGAAAAAAATAAAACAGACATATATTGATATTTACAATTTTTATTCTAACGTAAAGCAATATGTTTATATAGGTATAGCAATACATTGTTTTGTTGCATTTGAATTTAAAATTTTATGACCGTTTTTTAGTAAAAAAAAAATGTAAGCATGACTACTAAAAATTAAAATATCTATACTTGCTATTGGTACGGTACGAAGAATGATTATGAAACTTTCTAAAACACATAATAGCTATGACTACACAATATTATTCATATGTATTGTGCATACAGTAAAAAATAATTACTATCGTTTGTAAATGAAACTTTTAAACTAGTTTTTGTGTATAATTTCCTATTATGTTACATTCCAAGGTATTTATGTCAACCAATACGTAAGAAATATTGACAAGTTTCTTAGATAGTTCTCATTTTAAGCATTGTGAGTGTAAATTTTGTTTGTTACTTATTCATTACTTAAACAAAAAGTAAAACATACGTTTTTAAAAAAAAGTTGTGCAAATATTTATACAAATTGCTGAGTCTTGAGATATTTTCAGTGATTATACGCTACTTTGCAAATAAAATGAAAAGCTCTAAAAAAATTAAGTGTCACTACTACTTAACCCTTTTTAATTAAATCTTCTAATGTATCTGCGTAGACTCAGTGTTTATTTGCGAAAAAAGTGTGTTTAATAACGGAAAATAAATTATTTGCAAGATTTTTTTGTGAAACTGTTAATCAGTCAGGAGTTAAAAAAAATACAGTAAAAAAAATCAGGTGTGAGTCTCGGAATCCCTAGCAGAAGCGAAACTTCCAACTCATACGTTATTAAACTCATTACAATAGAAACTAAAATAGTAGTTTTCCTACGAGTTTGAAAAGTCTCTATTTGCGAACCGAGAGGTTTGCGGCCCGAGCCGAAGGCGAGGGACGTAACGAGGTTCGTAAAGGAGACTTTTCGAACGAGTTCCGGAAAACTACTTTTTCGCCCGAGGAAGTACCAGCCTCCCAAAACCACCCGAGGGCGGAAAAAATTATATTAAACCTTATTTTAATGGGTCTTTCAGAACCCAATATTAAAATAGTAAAAATTTTATTACTGTTACATGTTCGAGCACGTGCGTGCACGAAATACACTTACTCATAAATACTACTTGTGTTACATGTGATTCGCGCATTCTAAGTACTTTCATGTTTGCAATGATATATAAATTAATACATGTACTAATTGTTGGTTATGTAATGCAGAACAAAATGAAAATTTACACTATACTTTCCTAAAAAAAGGTAATTACTATTCGTTCATTTGATATGACATCTTATATGAACAATAAATTCTTGTTGGAAACATTGCATCCGACAAATGAAAATTTTTTTCAATTGCGGCTACCATCTGATTAAGATTAAAAAAAAACAATATACATATAGCTATTTTCTACTGTGGAGTTGTAATTTTTTATTTTATTTATTAGGCTAGGTTTAGAATAACTTGTCTTTATTTACTTCTTTGCGTATATCTTGATTTCGCTATCATAAAAACCGTTTTCGAATTGAAACATAGTCAAAAATAAAATAAAAAAAACAACCGGTTTTTGTATTTTTTTTCCTCTTTTTATAATATAACCTCAAATTTTGGTAGTTTGATGCGTTCTAATAAACTTCAAAATACTCTGTAGTCAGGAGAGATACTATTTCTCATGCTAAGGTACTGTTCACAGACCGAAACATGGTTAAAGTTGAGAAGCCCTGAAAGGACAAATGCACTTGCGCTCGGTTACCCCCTCCATCGTACGGATGCACTTTCTCCGCCGAAGCCGTAGCCATGGCTATATAAGGGGGCGCTTCTGCGCAATGCGGCAGTCGGTTCCTAACCGCTGCGACGCACGGTCACCATCGGCCAGCTGGACCCACCGGCTAACGATCGGACCCTCACTCCGCGACCAGCTAAACTCGGGAGCAATCCGACTAGGGACTTAAGAAATAAACGACCACGGTCATTTACCAACACGACTTCTTCTCATTTGTTCCGGCCTCTCCGTCCTTCCTGGGAATCTCACGCATCACGCTGGCGGAAACAGCAGCCACTCAAGACCTCGATATCGAGACCCTGTTAAGGTTACTCTACTCCGGCACACCGAAGGAAGCCTCCAGAGAGCTTCACGCCGCGTCCACCGCGAAGACACCATGGAAAAAGCAGCGTTCGAAGAAGCAGCGAATCCGGTGCAACACCAGGAGACGACAGGGGAAGCCAGACGTACGTCCGCGCAGTGTGGTGGTTGTTCTACCCACCAACACCCACCTTCGGGCACACCCCACCCGGGAGGTCCCGGGTTCAGACCGGACCTCCGCGGCGTTGTCCGTCGGTACAGGTGCTCATCTAGGGAAAGGCCCCCAAGAATCAGGGGAACCAACAGAGAGGAAGCCAACTCGACCGATACTGTGCCCTCCCCCTGCTCGCCCTCCGTACGCCGAGACCCCTTGAGGTAGACCCAAACTATCCAGGGTACCGCTGCTCGAACTGAGGGACCCTAAGAGACTCCGTCAAGTCAGACAAAGGCTGCTTGCGAGACCTCCAGCAGTTCCCCGTGAGACCATCGCTTGGCCGTAGCCGGCACTCCTCAATAACAATCGGCCCTTCTCAGGGCCACCAACACGTTCGACGCACCTAAGGCTACCTTTCGGGCCTAACAAAACCAGGGGACGAGCGGCTGCCAAGGTAGGTGCCACTGGTCGACAAGGGGCACCACTAGGGCAGGGTCCTCCCCCTTCAACAAAGTTTGCTAAACACTCTTTTTCCATATTTTTTTTTTTTTATCATGGAACATAGCTTCCAAACTTTACAATTTATTACCCTTACAACACCTTCAAATACTCTAGAATCATTATAAATATTATTTTTCATACTAAAACATCGTTAAAACTCGAAAAAATATTTTTTCTCACACATTTTCCGCATAATTGTCACGTCACCTCAAAATTGAATAATTTAATAGTTTTCATGCGGATCCTTATGGGTCTCCGGAATACACTCTAAAGTACTCAAAAATACTCTGGAGATCATTGAAAATACTATTTTTTATGAGTGAAAGATTTTTTCAATCAAGTATTTCTTTGCTGTTGATACATAGGGTCTGAAGTAGATACTGGGAAACTTAAATATTCTATAAGTAAAGATCTATAGTAGAAATGAATAAATAAAACTAATATGTTTGTCATTATTTTTTCTTTGTTTTAAAAACAATGAAATGATCATGAATGATAGATATGTTAAAATTAAATGCTTTGTGGATCTTTTAAATACTTATAGCCCCGTTGATCTTTATCAATATCTTCATTTATAATAGGATTAATGTCTGATGCAGTAAACATGTAAGAAGGCACTTTTGCTAGTCTAGTAATTTTTTATTAATATTAAACATTACTGAGGTAATAAATAACAGCTGCAGTGTGTGAGCAGGAACTTACAGTTTGTCATCCGTTTGCACAGTCTCACGTGTATCGCAAAATGCCACCATATCCGATAGAATTTGGTTTGTACTCAGCGTAGCATTTATAGGTCTTACTATTTATGTGTCTAAACTTTATTAAAACTTTGACAGTATTCTATTTGATTTTAATATACTTCAAATAAATATTTCTATTGTCATTCATCAGTTCAGCAAGGTAACATACAGCTTGTCCTAATTGATAGGAACCAGTAAAAAATATGTTCAAATCCGTTTCAGTTATTTTATGAAAATCAGTAATTTCTTGGGCTGTCAATTTGGTTGAAGTAGTAGGTCGTCTAGACCGTCTAGCTGTCTCAGCTTCGACAGCCAAATAATTTTTCCCTAAACTGAATTCAATCATTCTACCGATAATTATATATTGCAACCCATCTTTATCTTTATTGCTGTTTAAGCACTTTCCCAAAAGGTTATTTTGACAGCTTGCTATTTTTCAATTTCTCAGACACCAGCTTTTGCTAAAGTTTTGTTGTCTAACTGCTGATAAAAAAGTATATTTTCTTCCAGGGATACCATGAACTGCTTCTACTAACCATTTTAATTTGGTGAAGTAATGAGACTCGTTCGATTGAGTTGTTATTAGGTTAGAATTTTTATCTTTTAATGCAGGCATAAGAACTTTAAAACTGAGGTCTTCTAAATGTGGTACTGCGTCCCTAAAACCTCTATCAACAACACGAAAGTCGCCTCTTTTTATAAGATTCTTTATTTTGTTTCGATCTTCTATTACTTTCTTTATGATTTTCGCATCATTCTCCGTAGCTTAAAATGAACCCTGAACATTCACTACAAATCTATTCGTTGTTTAGATGGTGAAAAGATTAACTAAAGGGAAATTTTACTGACTAGAATATGACTTTCGTTAAAAGTTATTATTTTTACTCTTTTGATGACGTAAATAAGTTCCATCAAAAATTACAACAAGCTCATTGTTTACTTTAAAAAGTTTTTTTGCATAAATATATGTATGATTTCAAATCAATTATTCCCTTGTAATACTCTTTATTCCAAAACTCGTGGTAAGAGTGGTGGAGCGCTTGCCTTCCATTTAGAGGGCTTGGGCTTAAGACCCCGCTTTGTCCACTTTTCGTGGGTATCTTTTTGGTCTTTTCCATATGTCCTAATTACTATGATAGCTCATGGCCATCCCTGCAGACTCCTTCTGGATCCAGTGATGGTTTCTCCCGGTAATGTCTTGGACCTGGGGAAAAATATCTCCGGGGGTTGGTCGGTGCGCTTTATCTGGCTCGATTAGTGAGATTTCGTTAGTCGGCTATCGAAGTCCGAGCGAGAGAACAAACGAACGAACGAAGGCTTCTCAGAACCAATGAGCTTTGATAAGTGCTGTGGCGAGGTTAGAACCAATGCTAGATCCTGGCTGCTCATTGGTCGCGATGAAGGCATCATTTGTTTATTCTTTTGTTGCTTCTCTCGCTTAGGCTTCGATAGCCCCCCTGGCAGCGGCTCTATTAGCTAATTCCCTGTTAGAAAGCAGGGAAGTTGGCAGCTCATTGTTAGGTTGGTGAGTTCGTAAGAAGTTCTTTGAGAGGGGCCAATTTCCGAGCCAGCTCGCCCGTTGATCCGTTGTCGGCTCTACAAGGGGTCGGCAGCCATGCAGAAGTATTCTCCTCTCTTTCTCTCACTCTATTTATTTCTATCACATCTCGTCAACCTGAGGTTGTATTGATGCCTCATATTCCATGCTTCGAAACTATGAGCAAGTACTGATCAGATTATCCCTTGCTCTACAGATTAGTCACTGTCTTTCGCCACCTCCCTATATCTCTGTTCCTCTGCCTCTTTGTCTTATTTTCTATTTATCGGCGCATAACTGTCTCGGTTGGTCCTCGCGAGGAGGAGGTTTCAGTTGGTAGGCGTCTGGATATGAAATTGTAACGTCTGGATTGAACTCATGAAGAGAATCGGCGACCTTCACGCAACGAAATTTTTGAATTGTGTTTGTGCAAAAAGTGACTTTGTAAAAACCTTACTGGTCTATGTGTAAATGGGTTTGAATACATAGAAACAGAATATCTTGAATATGTACGTCAAATATATATTATGTGCTCCGTATATGATAAATAGAAGTATGTACTGTACTACATCTATCTAATTGCGATTATTATTATAATCTCATTCATGTATGTCTTTAACTATATGTATTTGTAAACAAAAAAACCAGTAATTGAATGAAATTTTCCAAAATCTCCCACGTACTTAGCGTCATGCGCGGGCCATGGTGTCAATGGCTGGAGGGTAATCGGAGCTCAATTGAAAGGCAGGCCGTGGGTTCAGACATTATCACTCGTAATTATTTCATTGTTTTTTTAAATAAACAAAAACATAACCATAAACATATAAATTTTATTGATTTATTTCTATACGGATATTTACTCATGAAATATTGAAGTTTCCCAGTATCTACTGCCCACCCTCAGTAGCAACAGTAAAGTAATACTTGATCCAAAAAATGTTTTACTTATAAATAATAGTATTTTAAATTATTTCAAAGTATTTTCGGGCGCTTAAGAGTATATTGCGAAGACCAGCAAAGCATAAGAACTATTGAATTATTTATTTTTGAGGTGACGTGACATATATGTGGAAAATGTGTAGGTAAAAATTATTTTTATGAGTTTTAATGATGTTTTGGTAAGAAAAATAGTATCTGCAACAATTCTGTTGTATTTCAAGATATTTTGAAGTGTAATGACTTATAAAATTTGAAGGTGATGTTGCAAAATAGAGAAAAAATATGAAAAAAAGCGTTCTTAGAAAACTTTAACCGTACCTTAGTCTAAAAACAGGACCTACGTATAAGGCTTTATCTTAATCTAGGTATCTTTATTGATCATAGAGTATTTTGATGTGTATGAAAATGTATCGAACTGTAAATTTCAAGGTTAGGTTACAAAAATAAGAAAAGACATGCAAAAAATTGCTGTTTTTTTTTTTAATTTTTGACCATATTCCGTTTAGAAAACGGTTTTTATAATAGCGAGATCATGATATAAACAAAAAAGTACATAAAAAATGGTTACTTCTCACCAAGCCAAACAAATTTAACATAACTCAAAACACGATTAAAAAATTTAAATATTTGTTGTTCATCCAAATTAGATCGAAAAACGTTAATAATTAAGGGGATTCTTTAGTAAAAACAAAAACGTCTATAAATTTTTTCAGATTTCTTTGATAGAGCAGTCAAACGGGAGTGCTTTTTTTCATAAAAAAACGTTTTTTGTTGTACTAGGACTCCATTTTACCTGGGGGTCTGAAATTTTGACTGAAATACTTTTTTAGTATGTTATTTTAAGAATTACATTCAAAATAAAAATTTAGGCTGGCGCGGATTCGATCATCTTAATCGGCTATAGCCTTTATTAGAAAGTTTTATTGGTGTGTTTTGATAAATTGTGCTTTTTTCTCTTTATTGGAGGATTACTTCCTAAGGAAGATGTAGTTTTTATTCTTTTGACTCGATCATCAGCTCTACAGAATACTAAATATTTATCTTTTTTTAACTTAATTTGCAGTCGCTTCTTCTTTCTTCGTTAATTACTTTTATCTCTATTTACCAGAAAATTCTTTTGAAGAATGTAAAGTTTCGTTTTCATCATCCTTCTTTTTTATTTAGTGGGAAATAATACGGTCCATTTAAGATTTTGAATCTCTGATTACATTTTCTAATTATTCAATTAAATTTAGAAAAAAATTATTGTGCTTCATTTTTGAAAAGAGTTGCCACACTTAGGCATTGATTTAATATCTGAATGCTTTACGTTAACAATACCATTTCCATGGGCTTACTTATTAACGTATCGATTTTTAGCTTACCAATAAATTGACAAAATAACATTCGTTGCGCTTCACTATACTTTAAATAACCAAAAGATAGTATAGTAACGTTATATTCATTGTTTGTCACAATATTTGCCTATAAGGATTGTCTGTACCCATGGAAAGTATAACTCTATTAAGTTTTATAGCATTAATTCTTAAAAAAGTATCTGTGTCAATTGATGAACAGTTTTTGAAAGGAGTTGAATGGCATATCGTAGAGTTATATTTTATTCAATAAGTTCTTATATGAAGTAATTCTGTGTACATTTCCTTAGTTTAACATGAAATTAATAATAAATAACATAAAATGACAAATTGATTGAGTCTTATAATTAATATTTTTACTCTTCTATAGGCAAGTATTTCCAATTTGTAAGTTAACGTAAATGCGTGCTTGAAGTCGCGCAATATTGTGCGGTACGCTAAGCTGGTTGATTTACTTTTTTTCTACGTAAAACATACGACAAAGAACCATAATTATTATCATCATCAACCTCATCTTGTAAATAAAGAAAAATTGTTATGAGTTACAAAAAATTTATTATTAAATAATTGATAAATTATACTTGAACATGACGCAGAGTCTCTGGCTGAGTCGGAAAAAGCCCTCAAGAGGCATTCAATACCAAATTTAACATACTTACTGAACACGGAAATAACGCTTACCATCAGTTCAGGAATGAAGTAAATGTATAGACATCTTCAAATCAACAAAAAAACTTACACGAGATAAAAAAAAGTGGCCACACAAACTATTTTACAATACCAGAACAAACATCATCCCCGGGTGAGAGGCTCCATACAACTACAGAGTAACTTCTTTCAATCTGAAAACATTAGCAGAAGCTAGAGTAGCTACCTTAAAAATAGAGAGCAAACTTAGCCTGCGTCAGTAATACTGACACAAATCTTGGCACAACTATATCTCTTCAGAATAGAAGACAAGTAACTAAACTACTTCACATGACATTACGATAAAACAGAAAGAACAGGCACACCAAAAGATAGTAAGGCACATAACGGCCAAAGATTTTGCTATACTGTAACGAGTGTGGCAAGTATTCAACTAAATTATGCATGTAATGAGTAACGGATGTGATGAATAAGGAAATTTCGAAATCCGGATGTAAAAGTAATCGACTCACAAGCTGACCCAGAATATTAAAAAAGATCGCAATAAAAATTTATCCTATTGCCAACGAAAAAGCTATAATCAAAAGAAATGTTTCTACCTAGTAAGAGATGCAGAAAATAAAAAAATAATCAGGAATGGTATATGCAAACAATTATAGCGGAAAATAATTATAATCAGCGGAGAGAAGGCCTTAACTGGCATAGTTTTAATATTGTCCAATGTTAGATGTAGCAAAATTGTTATCAATACACAAAGAATACGTTAATATAGAAAAAAACAATCCGAAAAACAAAGAGTTTTTTGTTAATTAAGAGTCAATGAACAAGTTAACCTAAAATATTTGCAAAAGTCAAACAACGGGTGATTGTGATGAAGAAATTAATATCCAATGCAAGATAGTCAAATGAAAGAAAGTTGTAGATCTTGAAAAAACCTACCAATTGTCGTCTGGTAAATTTAATATTGATGCGTAGGTGCAGAGAAAACTTGAACAACCCAGTGATAATCGTTGCTTTGTAATTTGTTCATAACTTCTTTACTTTTATGTTTTTTAAAATTATACTGAGTAAAACTAAAAAAAATGAAGTCACAAATCTTTCCAAAATATTGCATTTAAGGGGGAAAAAAACTTTCGTAAAGACTTTCCTCTTGGTCGAGAGATCATGCTGCAGTGGTTTTTTAGGGCTTAAACCCTTCTTCTAGACATTTTTTTCTTTAGTGTTGAAGCAGCAAGTAAAAAATTTCAACTTCTGACACCGAAATCAGCTATAAAAAAAGTGCATTTTCGAATTTATACTTTTATAAATGCTTTATGTGTGAGAATGAATCAACGATTTTAGAATTTTGACTTTGAAAAAATATGTGACGAAAATGAATTTTCGACACGCCTTGTGCGAGAACTCGATTATGAGCCATCTGTTGTGGCTCTAAAGACCTTGATTTACACACGTAACTCATAACTTGTGCTGTGCACTCGTGCGAGTGAGTGTGTACGTCGAGATCTTTGCAGAGCCACATTAGATGGCTCATAATCTCGCTCCCCGCGCACGATGTGTCACAAAGTTTTATACACCACACGTGCGAGAGATTGCTATAAGCGGTCCCAGTAATAGAAATTCTGTTACTTTTTTTTGTGGTATGATTGGTAACTTATTTTTAAATTAAATATTTNAAAACAAAGTTACCGATAAATAATTTATTATTAATAATGTATTATCGAACCTAAGTATTTAACAAACAGTAAAAAATATCAAAATTATAAATAAGTTACGAATCATACTATAAAAAGAAGAAGTTTATCTATATTTAAAATCGCTTGTAGCTGAGTGTATAGAATACGTGGCTAGTGTTCAAAAGAACGCTGGTTCCAATCTCGAAAAACGTGTTTTTTTTTTGTTTTTTTCAGGATAATTACGTGTAGAATCAAGAATTAAAGTAAAATAAAAAAAATGGGTCGTGGAACCCACGATATAAGTGAAACTTCACGTATCAAATATTAAACTCATTTTATACAGAAAATTACAGGAGAAGCAATTATATGTGTTATTGCTACGAGTTAACTAACTAAATTTCTTTTAATAACATTAAACGAGTAAAAAAAACTTCGTATTTGAAATGGCTGAAAAACGTATTTTTAAAAAAATCTGTTGTGGGACCCACGATAGCAGTGAAACTTCAAGTATCAAATATTGAACTCATTTTGTACAGAAAATTATATGAGAAGCAATCATATGTGTTATTGCTACGAGTTGAATGAGTAAATTTCTTTTAATAACATTAAACAAGTAAAAAAATTTTCGTATTTAAAATGGCTGAAAATTATGTTTTTATCAAACCGAATCGTACGCTTCGATTGTTTTTTCCCCTTTAGTAAACCCATGAAAATTGGTATTTTCAAATAATATTGCTTCTCCTTAGAAGTATGGTGTTTTTTCTCATTTTTTGAGGTTATTCTTTAATAAAAATACACGTTAAATTGTGATTTTTAAAGTAAAACGTATTATTAAAAAAATGGGTCGTGGGACCCACGATAGAAGTGAAACTTCAAGTATCGAATATTGAACTCATTTTGTACAGAAAATTATATGAGAAGCAATCATATGTGTTATTGCTACGAGTTAAATAAGTAAATTTCTTTCAGGAACATTAAACAAGTAAAAAAAATTTTGTATTTGAAATGGCTAAAAATCATGTTTTCATCAAACCGAATTGTACGCTTCGATTGTTTTTCCCTTTAATAAACCCATAAAAATTGGTATTTTCGACTGATGTTGCTTCTCCTCAGAGATATGATGTTTTTTCTAATTTTTTGAGGTTATTTTGTCATGAAAACACTTTAAACTTATTCGCGCACATCTGCATTAAGGTTTAAAGTATACTGCAATTTTTTCATATAGATAGACCGCAAATACGAATTTGAGGTTATGTAATCATAAAAAATGACACCTCAATTTGTGCGTCTCAATATTTTATTTCCCCTTTAGGACACCCGTAAGAAATCGGTATTTTTGGCCTATTTTGCTTTTCCGTGAAGATATGACGATTTTTCTTATTGTATGAGGTTATGTTGTTATAAAAACACTTTAAATTAGTTTGTGGACATCTCTTCTAATTTTCAAGGTATACTGTAATTTATTCACAATTTATAACTCCAATTTCATGAAGATAGAGCGAAAATACGAGTTTAAGGTTATGTAATCACAACAAATAACACCTCTATTTGTGCGTCTCGATATTTTATTTCCCCTTTAGGATACTTGTAAAAAATGGGTATTTTTGGCCTATTTTGCTTCTCCGTCGAGATATGACGATTTTTCTTATTTTATGAGGTTATATTGTTGTAAAAACACTTTAAGTTAATTTGTGGACATTTCTTTTAATTTTCAAGGTATACTATAATTTTTTCGCAATTTATAACTCATATGTCAGAAAAGTACAACTAAAATACGAATTTGAGGTTATTTAATAACAAAGAATACCTCATCACACATGCACACACACACACACACACACATATATATATATATATATGTATGTATGTATGTATGTATATATATATACGTAAAAACTTGAGCATGTAGTAGCAAGGGGAGCGAGGCAGAGAGAAAGGCCGTCCCACTCTACGCGTATATGCACTGCTCTGGTGGCAAGGGGGACGAGGCAGAGAGAAAGAGAGAGTGGCTGGAGTTGGAGTAGTAGGAATGCCTGTTAGTATATCATGTGGTGGCAAGGGGGACGCGGCAGAGAGTGAGAGAGTGGCTGGAGTGGTAGGGATGCACTGCTAGTATAGCATGTGGTGGCAAGGGGGAGGCAAAAAGGGAGAGAGAGCGGCTGGAGTGGTGGGGGGCTCAGAAATTTCGTGTCGCTCGAAAAAATTTACAACGTGCCATAAAAAGTTTCACTTAAAAAATGCATAGTTTAACGTTTGCAATTTTTTGTGAGTTATTTTTATGCTATTAAGAATATACTTTCAATGTTCAAATAATATCTATCAAAAAACTTATGTGTGTTGAACGTCTCGAAGATACGGTCACTAGCATGTCATTCATCCTTCTTGAAAAATACGATACTACAGGATGTTTTTAATGTAAAAACATTTTATACGAGGTTTAGTCTTTCCGCTTGGTCAGTAAAAATTTTCAAAGCGTAACGCTTTTTTCGTAACGCCTATATAGACAAAATTATACCGTTTTCTCCCTCTGTCTTTCTCTCTACTAAGGAGCGCTGAGCTTACGATGCTACCAGTCAAAATATATAGATATACTATGTCATATTTGTCTACAAGCAACTAATTATTTATTTGTACACGTGCGCGCACAAACACACACACACACACACATGCTGTGCATGGCTGCTGGCCAAGTTGAAACTGGGGAGCATAGTATGTATATACATCAGTGCAGATCAAAAGCAGCTAACTGCAGGACGATAGAGAGAGAGAGTTTTATTCGCTGAGATTTTGTCGTGACTCGTGAAAGTCTAAGATATACGAATGAAAAGTCTAGGGGGGCAAATTTTGCGGCATTAAATATAGACTTATTAAATAACGAGTTTCGTGAAATAAATAATTTTGTCGTAAACTCCAAAAGTAATTTCTTGCTCAATATTATCTCTAAAAAAAAACCAAACTCATATCAATTTTTGTACTATATAAGCTTTTATTTTACAAAAGAAGAAATATACAAAAAAATAATAATCTAAGAAAAATTCGCAAGAAGAAACATTGTCATTGTTCTGGTTTGAAATAAACGCAAGAACTAAAAACATTAAACAAACGCAAAGTTCAGTACGATACGACGATTGATCACGTCGTTCGTACATGGAATCAATCGCGACTTGAAGAAAAGAGTGCCTTGAAGCTTTGGACTATATTTCAAAGTGGATTGACACTTTTACGAAGCTCCACTGGCAGGAGAACTTTTCTGCTGAGCTGCTTTCGAGGACACGTCTTCAGTGTCAAGGAACAAAAAAATGGCAACAGTGAAAATTGTTGCTAAACCAGACTTAAGCAGCGAAGAAAGGACCGCTGCGTGGAAGCGCCTTACTGCTGCAAA